GGTCCCACTGTGGTTAAACCACCACAGTGGTTTCATTTGTGTCTCTGCAGGATGGATGACATTCAGCTTTGTAAAGAAATCAGCCGGCTGAAGAAGGAGCTTCAAAAACTCATAGCTCTTCCAGGTAAGGCTTCGTAGAGCTTCAGAGAGCTGGACCCTGTGGCTGCAATCAGCCGGAAGGGTTCCATGAAAAACAAGAAGCTCTTGAATGGCTCCCTCCCCGGGATGCTCCCAGAGACACTGCTGCTGCAGGCAGTGTGTGACCAGCCAGAGATGTGGCTCCCTGAGTCTGGTCTGGCCTGAGATCTTTCTTGGGAGCTTTGCTGCTTGCAGTGCTGCCAGGGAGTCTTTGTCCAGGCCTGGGCTGAAGAGCAGAGGAAACAGAAAAGGAGCAAACGTGAGTCCTTTAAGGAAGAGTGTTGGTCTGGTACAGGAGGAGGACAGGAGCTGAGTGAGGTGTTAGTGGATGCTGACACAGTGGAACCTGACAGGTATACTGAGGAGGATCCCCAGACGAGTTGAGACGACAAGCAGGGGACATTGTCAGACCACACCATGGAGGGGTCCTTTGGAGGTAGCAGGAGGGGAGATGCCTTCAAAGGCCTCAAGTATGTGAAGAGTAATGAATTCTTGCTGTGTCCATGTCAGAACTGCGTGTCAGTGATGGGGCAGATCACAGCAGCTGCCAGGGAAGGATTCCTCATTGCGGCCAGAGTAGGATGGGTGTGAGGGGGATGTCATGCCAAAGGACTTGGCAATGTCCCTGGTTTAGGAGAATTCATCATTCAGGATGTTGAAAAGAGGCAGAGTCTAGGGCAAGATATGTGAAAACTTCAGCTGGGATGAAATGCTGCTTTTGTCACCCCCCCCTTACCATGCCCAGTGATCTTCCATGTCTCTGTCACAGTCAGAGTCACCCTTGTCCCTTCACAGCCCAGGAAAGGCCAAACCTTGTTTCTCCAAAAGATCCCCTCAGCCAAGGTACTCAAATAAAGGCACTCACCAAACAGCTCAGGGTTTGAATGAGAACAAGCAAGACAGGCTTCGCCACAAGCTGTGTCCATCACTGTTCAGAAGGCTGTGCCTCCTCCTAGGACATCCTCATTCATCCCCCAGTAAGGCCTTTGTGTTTTCAGAAGCTGATGGGAGACATATCCCGACTTATTTGTACCCATCCAAGCATTAAGACTTGGACCTCGATTGTTTTCACCACAAATACCTCTCTGCACAAGACCACAATTGTAGGAGGAACTTTTGTTTGCTGGAGACGTTTCTAACAACATGATGTTTATGAGAAGTTCTTCCTATTCAGACGCCTGCAGCAGCACCTCGGATCAATACAGAGCAGCCTTTGAACTACAGATCAATACACAGTGTAGGTAACTGCTGAGATCCAGCCCACAGGGTTTGCTCCGTACTGTGAATTTCCCTGCATTTTTATGTAGCCGAAGGAAGACCAGAGATTGATCCCTCCTGTGCTGGACTGATTTTGGAGCTGGCTGCTGAATTCAGAAATGGTGTTAAATACCTGCAGCAGAGGCAGTCATAGTTGCCACCTGAGGTAGCTCTCCATTTGTATTGAACACCCCTTAGCCCTATCTACATAATCTTCATGTATTGCATTTATGCATCAGTTTATATAGGACATGACTTCATAGTGATGTGAGAGTTTGCCAGGTCTTCAGTGACTCGCTGCCCAAAGATATGTGGCACAAGTGGGTCCCACCGTGCTCAAGGTAGGTCAGTCTGGGGGTTGAAGTGACAACCAAGGCTAATGCATTCAAACAGCCTGGCAGACATTTGTCACCCTGCCACTGGGGTGGGAATGGGGCTGACAGTGGTTTAAAGGTCAGATGTGGAGGATAAGACCACTGGGACTGTGTTAGGCAAGGGAGTGTCTACAAAACCAGTGGGTCATATTGGTTTTCATGTCACCATAGTATGGGATAAATGGTGGTGTGTTCCCAAAGCATCTGGGCATTGTTAATAGTTCCCCATACACCTGAGTCCCTGGCTGGTTTCAGCCACATGGAGAACCTGGCTCGGAGGTCTCTGGACCCTTACCCAGCTCAGGGCCAACCTTAGCCTGGCTGGGTGTGCTGGCATGAGAAATGTGGGTTAAGCACATCCTGGCTGAAGGATGACATCTGAGTCTGACATTCTGAGCAAATTGAGACCCAGTACCCAGCCTCTTCAGCAGTGCAGGGTGAAGGCCCCAGGGGAGCCATGGTCATCTCCCACCAGAGAAGTCACCTTGTTGAGGGGCCCTTTCTCTGCCCTGCAAAGCTCACAGTTGCATCTTGCACTGCTCAGCCCCATGAAAATTTTGAGAAGAAGCTAAAAATTCAAAGTTTGACACCACCAGACCTTTCTCCTCCCACCCAGGGTGGTTTGGGATGAGGCTGTTGCTTATTTATAAGCTTGTGTCTGGATCCAGGTGCTTACTTTGGGTTGGCTTTTACCCTCACTCTCATATCTGTTCCCAGGTCAAGCAGAACCAGAACAAGCTTGGTCTTGGCATGGGCGAGGTGGTCCCTGTTGTCTTAAATGTGTTTCCTGTGCTGCAGAGAATGAGAAATCCAACGAGGAGAAGCAGAGGGAAGAGGAGTTGGTACAGCAGATACACAAGCTGGTGGAAACACGGGATTTCCTGGTGGATGATGTGGAATTTGAGAGGCTCAGGTAGCTGGGTGCAATTTATTCCTTGCACTGAGGACAGTGCAGTTTGTCCTCTGCTCTGTGTCATGCCTTGCCAGATGCTCCTGGATGCCTTGATGCTCCTTTCCTGAGCGGTAACCAATCTCTTTGTCACAGGGAAAGGGAGGAAGACAAGGAAATGGCAGAGTTCCTGCAAAGTAAGCTCTCCAGAAGCTATCTCCAGAAAGCAAGTAGGTGGTTGCTGAGTTTTATTCCTTGCATTGAATGACAGTTTCTCCCCTTTTCTAAGCACTCTGTCTCCAAGATTTTGTTTCTCTGCATGGGGCTATCTTACCTGGAGGCCATCTGCTGCTGGAGGGGGGTGTGGGGAAATGGCAACTGGGGGATGCTGGTGCTTGAGATCACATTGTGGAAACATCCTGAATCAGTACAGATGGTGTGCTTCCATTTCCCTCCTGGCATTTCTCAGCCACCATGTCCTGTGAGAATGGGGTCAGGTGGGTGTCCTTTTATGGCCCATGTACTTCATTTGACCCTTTCCAACCAGCTCCTTACACTTCATCACACCATTAATAAGGTCACAAGTTGTGGTATCCATCCAGTCCTCCTCTCTTCACGGCCTCTGACATCAGGCCACGCTTTTCCCTGTGCCTCCATCATTGCTGGAGGTGCTGGAAATGTCTCCCAGTGTGGTGAGAGGCATTTCCATCCATAGGTCTCTCTTCCTTTGCCTGTGTCCTGCCTGTGGACAAACATGGTGATGTGCCTCCTGGGTGCAGGAGCTCATGCCCAGCTGAGGGTCTGAGGAGGATCAGCATCTTAACCCTGAAAATAGCTCTAACAAGCAGTCACATGCCTGTGCCCTTATCACCAGGCAGATGCCGATTCCTCTTTCCATAGCTCCTGTCAAAGAGAAGAAAATGACTTCCAGGGGGCAGCAAACCTCTGCACCATACCTGACCAAAACGGGCCTCACCCTGCTCAAGGAGTGCTGTGGCTTCACCTGCTCCATCATGTAGGCCAACCCCTGCTCCTCGGCACAGGACATGACCATGGTAGTGTACACGTCCTGGGAAGCTGGGCCAGGCAGGAGGGGCTTCCTTGGTGTGCTGAAATGGCCAAGTGTCTGTGTAGGGTGGGTGAGTGTCAACATCTGGGACACACACAGCTCCTGGTGCTGCAGGCGTGGGGCATGAGGGACCACCAGGCTGCAGCCCTGCTCTGGAGGGGCTGCCACTGGGGAAAAGTGCTGGAGCCCTGCTGAGTCCTGAGAGGGCGGCTGGAAGGGGAACAGCAGTGGCCATGGCTGTGGAGGACGAGGAGGTGGAGGGAGTTGGGTAGAGGGCAAAGAGAGATGGAGGGCGAGGAGGAGCGGGGCCAGGCACACTGCAGGTAGCATGTCCCAGACACCAAGGCATCTCCTTGTAAGCACATGCAGGAGAGAGCTGTTGGGTCAAATGTGCCACTGCTGTGCACACCTCGTGCTCATGGAGTCTCACCGCCAATGCCTTTGTGTTCTCATAATATCTTCTCTGAAAACATGAGGAGCCATCAGGCCTTTCTGTCCTTGAGAGTCCTCACGTGCCTTCTCCCACCTCCTCCTTTCCAGCAGGTTGCAGTTAAATCACTGGCATCTGCTACAGCTCCACGTGCCCAACCATGAAGTGATCCATCCAGTATTTCTAAAACAGTTTCCTAAGGGCCAGGCCATGTCAGTTGTACAGGACTGTCCTCTCACCATC